CAAGCCAGTGAAAAACTGGCCTAGTTCAGGCATCACTCGTCATGCTGCCCTCCGTTGGACCGATCATAGGCAAATAGGTACCGGCTCGGTAGCAAAGTGTATTGTGTTTCCTATTTTCCCCGAGGAGGGGCGCGAACCACGAGATGGAGTCCCGGGCAAGCATGAATAATGGCAGGAAGCCGGGGGCGTGGCTTTGTTCTTGCTCGCCACGGCGCCGACTTTTCGATGGTGGTGCGATGGTTCGGGTGGCCCGTATTTTAGGGTGCTTGTTGATAATTTTTTTTGTTGCTCTGGTCCTCCCCTTTTTTCGACGGGCTTTGTGGAAAGACTGTCGATCCTGATCCTGATCCTTCGCCGGTGTTTGTTTCTGCAACCAGAGGCGCCACGTACGAGACACCAGACGCCTGGATCATACCTGACTGCGGGGTTGTAGTAGAGGCGAGAGTGTTTGAGAGCAATGGAATTGAATTTTGCTGTTGAAGAGGTACCTGTTACAATGGACGTTGCGTCGAGAGGCGAGTTGATAGAGGACCCTTATCTGCCCGTGCTTATCACCATCCCACCACGCAGTGCCGAGGCAAAGTATTCTCAAGTACCGTTTCCGAGCTCCAGCGTTAAGGTTACACTAGATCGCCTTCTATGCACGAGGCAAGAATTCTCCCGCCCCTCCACCAAACCACAGGCAGGCCGTGGATGATGGCTCTACAGAGTAATTATGTGCAAGAAATGAAGCGTTCATTCAACTCTTCTGCTTCTGGCAATTGTCGCAACCACCCACCCCATGGCGCTCTGCCGCGACCCTTCCACTTCCACTTAATGGCATGGGTTATGCGGGTTCCCAGCTGCGGCTTGCCAGGTTTACCCCCCGGTCGGTGCTCCCAGCTCCCCCGATCCCGCCAGGTACAGGGGTTAGGCCCCTGTAAATCCAGACCTGCAGCACCTGCCGGCGGAGGTGCAGTGGAGGCTTACCAGCGACCCGAGAGCCCTCCTCCAGCTTTTTTTTTCACCCCAACAGTTTCTCGATCCGCTCTGCAAAGGTAGCGCTCGACAACGTCCGTCGAATGGATGGATTGGCATTGATTGACAAAGCATCGGACCATCCGCCCTGGGCCCTATCTTGCCTCTTTAGGCTGTTTCTTGTCAGACAGGCGGGCTTCCAGAGCTGATGGTCGTGTCACTGCAGTGGCCACCATCCCACCATCATCCCTCATCCCATCCCTCATCCCTCATCGCTTCCCCTTTCACCCCCCCTCCCCTTTTGCCTCTGCCCACTTTTCCATTTTCTGGCTCTTGCCTCGTCTGGCCTGTGAACCCTTATAACCGCCGGCCGTAAACCCTTCTTCTTCCTCGACTGCTTCTCTTTATAACCTCCCTTCCTCCCAGCCTCATCCTCCCCCTCTTCCCCTCCTCTTCTTGTTCACCGTTCGTGGTTGGGTTCCGTTTCTGCTCCGTTTGCATATCAATTCCCTTGTCATTTTTGATTCGGAGAAGCCTCTCCCATCTTCGCCATGGCTGCCACCGCCTCTGCCTCGGCTGTCCCCAAGCCTCGTGCTGTGCGCAGGACTGCCACCTCCAACACGGTCACCGATTCTGAATCCTCGGCTGCCGTCTCTCCCTCCGACTCCCCTCGCCCCTCTGCCTCGTCCACCTCTCTGTCGTCCCTCTCCGAGGTCGACGTTGGTGCCGCCAAGGCCAACTATGGCCGTCTGGTCGACACCTATGGCAACGAGTTTGTCCCTCCCGACTTCACCATCAAGGACATTCGCGACGCCATTCCCAAGCACTGCTTCGAGCGTTCGGCCCTCAAGGGCTATTCGTACATCCTGAGGGATCTGGCCTGCCTCGCCACCACCTTCTACCTCTTCCACAACTATGTCACCCCCGACAACATCCCCTCGATGCCCCTCCGCGCTGGTCTGTGGGCCGTCTACACGGTTCTCCAGGGCCTTTTCGGCACCGGTATCTGGGTCATCGCCCACGAGTGCGGCCACGGCGCCTTCTCCGACTCCACCTTCATCAACGACATCACCGGCTGGGTCCTGCACTCTGCTCTCCTCGTCCCCTACTTCAGCTGGAAGCTGTCCCACTCCAAGCACCACAAGGCCACTGGCCACATGGAGCGTGACATGGTCTTCGTTCCCCGAACGCGCGAGGAGCACGCCACCCGCCTTGGCCGCCTGACCCACGAGCTCACTGAGCTCGCCGAGGAGACTCCTGCCGTCACCCTCATCATGCTCATCCTCCAGCAGCTGGTTGGCTGGCCCAACTACATCATGACCAACGTCACCGGCCACAACTACCACGAGCGCCAGCGCGAGGGCCGTGGCAAGGGCAAGAAGAACGGATTCGGCGGCGGTGTCAACCACTTCGACCCCCGCAGCCCACTGTACGAGAACCGTGATGCCATGGCCATCGTCCTCAGCGACATCGGTATCGCTCTGACCATCGGCTCCATCGTCTACCTCAGCAAGACCTTTGGCTGGTACAACATGGCCATCTGGTACGGTGTTCCGTACCTCTGGGTCAACCACTGGCTCGGTATGTCGCCTTGGCCCCGTGAAGTTGGGCTTGCCGGTGGAACCAATCGCTAACCGTCTGTGTGTTTTTAGTTGCCATCACCTTCCTCCAGCACACCGACCCCTCTCTCCCCCACTACCACGGCGAGGAGTGGAACTTTGTCCGCGGAGCCGCCGCTACCATTGACCGCGAGATGGGCTTCATTGGTCGCCAGCTTCTCCACGGCATTGTCGAGACGCACGTCCTGCACCACTACATTAGCAGCATCCCCTTCTACAACGCCGATGAGGCCACCGATGCCATCCGCCCCATCATGGGCCAGCACTACAAGTCTGACACCAAGGGAGGGTTCTGGGGCTTCATCGGTGCTCTCTGGAAGAGCGCTCGCATGTGCCAGTGGGTCGAGCCCAGCAGCGAGGCCGAGGGTGCCGGCAAGCACATTCTGTTCTTCCGCAACCGCAACGGCCTCGGCACCAAGCCCGCCGTCCTCAAGGGCGAGTAAAGGGGGCAGGCGCGGGGTGGAAGAGGAAAATAATTTTGCAGCTTGGTTAGTATGGGACGGAGTTAATGAACACGCGTGGGAATTTGCTATCATGACCATCAAGGAGTCATTGTCACAAGGCTCCGACTGCCATGTCTTGGCACAGCGGGATAGCCAGACCAGTGTGGCCAAAGTCGGTGGATGTAGTGTCCAGGATCGACGGAGCCAGATGAATGTGTAAATAGACAGACAATAGACCTGCCTAGACTTGACAGATTTGATCAAAACCAAAGCTTTGACGCTCAAGGAAGAGCAGACGTCCAAGTAGAGTTTGGCAGGCCCGAGAGGGGTAGCGATTATGGAGAAAGGGTATTTATACAGAGTCTGGTCCAAAGCGTACCAGCAAGCTGGTGCGGGGATGCATCCGCATGTTCCGTTATCCCTGTCAGGCCACGCGACCTTGGGGTGACGATCCTAAGATGTCACATCAAGACGGGACTTGTGGTTTATGTTTTGCGCAGCCGATACGACGTGTTGTGGAGGGTTGAGGTTCCACGAACCGACCCGGACATGGCAGATATATGATACCTCGGCAGGATTATTCACGCGATTGCCGTGGTGCTGCAATCCAGTCACACATGCTTGCATCGCTCCATGTAGCCGCTCCCCGCTGGATCTCAGTCATCTGGAGTTTGGAGACAGGGATAGATCAACGCTGACCGGGTATCAAGACCTAGACTCTGATTGAGAACTAGACACATATGGGAAAAGACGGGATCAGAGCGAGGCACGCAGTCCCATGACTCGTAGCTCGCACTTTTCGGCCCACGGCCCGGCGGCTCTTGTGCTTGGTGTGGTTAGTCTCTGGGGAAGAAATAGATAGAGAGAGAGAGAGAGAGAAAGGGGTGTCTTGGCGGTTCTAGAATTTGAGATGGACATGCTACGTGGCGTGGGAGGCGAATCGCCCGGAGTATCTCAGTTTCCCGAACCGAGCGCCTCGCTGGGGCCAGAATAATTGCCTCTTCTACTATCTTCGAGCTGATGCATGTCTTCCGGCGATCAGGAAGTGCGGACGTTGGACAGGATCGGGGTGTTGCGGCGGGCCGATAGGGTGCTGTATCGCTCGCATTGCTTTTTTTCTTCCTTTATTTTTGGAGTTATCTGATGAGTTGGAGGAGAATGGGTCGTGTGACTGATTCAAGTGAAGAGGCATGCATGTCCGTGTGAGTCAAGCGTGTGACGGAGGCTGGCGGGTTCGTTGCGAGATTACATGTGTAGGCTGCCACGGCAACATGGGCCGGGAGAGACGTGATGCTAGACAGAGGGCTTGGTAATGTTTCGGGCTTATTGTGTTTGCGGAGGCGTAAGAGCTGCGGGCGGGAGGGATGTATTACAGTGCCTGGATGCCGGGGAGTTTGTACAACCAGGTGCTGGCTCATTTGTTATATGCCGAAATATTGCTCGGACGTACTGGGAAAACTGTTACCAAGTGACAAGGCAGAAGTCGGAGAGAGGTACGGATATGGGGTGTGTGTGGTGTTGAAGAGAGCAGAGGGAACAGGCTACCAGTCGTGTTGAGCAACATGTACGGCAATATCTTGCCGACAGACACAGCGCGATAATAACTCAGTTGGGAGAGTGTCAGACTGAAGTCAAACTTCAATCTTTGAAATCTGAAAGTCCTGCGTTCAATCCGCAGTTGTCGCAAGTTGCTTTTTTTGCCCGCAGCGCCAATTTTTCCCATTTTCCCCCACCACGACGATGACTGCACATATGAGCCGCATATCGTCTGCCCACAACAACAAGCGATAATAACTCAGCTGGGAGAGTGTCAGACTGAAGTCAAACTTCAATCTCGAAATCTGAAAGTCCTGTGTTCAATCCACAGTTGTCGCATTGTTCTTTCTTTGTCTTTTTGGGTTGTGATTTCTTTGTTTATTTTTTGTGGTGCGTGGAGGGGCATCGTCCTGATATGCCGTATAGCCTCTGCCTCCACCAATCAGCGATAATAACTCAGCTGGGAGAGTGTCAGACTGAAGCTATAACTTCAATCTTTGAAATCTGAAAGTCCTGTGTTCAATCCACAGTTGTCGCATGGTTTATTTTTTGCTCCGTTTGGTGGTGGATTTGAGTGATTGGAATGCTAATTATTGCGTGAGATACACTGAAGCCGCTGTTTTTACTGTTGCTTTTTCTTTCTGCTTCCTTTTCTTTTTTGAGGGGCTTACACTTACAAGCCCGGTGACAAACCCGGTTTTTACTGACTTCGATGGACTCTTATTATTTCTGCAAAAGACAGGTCATTCATTATATGCACACCCAGAGACAACTAAAAGCCCTGCATAATCGAGATTGATGGTGCATGTCAGTATGATGGTCGAATGCGACAGCGTCCATTCATGAGACATTCTTACCATGGCTCTCTCCGCTGTGCCATCACACACATCGTGGCAGCCAAGTGGTAGCTCGCAAAGTTAGACGACGGTGGGAATACGGTGTAAATATGTATACAGCGTCATTGGCGGCAGCTTTCTTGTCATCATGGATACCGCTGGAATAAGCAAACCTAACGCAGTAACAGTGCGAGCTCTTCATCTGCGGCCTGTCGCAGACCAGACCCGATACAACGTAGTAGAGAAGATTATTCCATAGAGTCGGAGCAATGCCAGGCTAGCCAGCTTCGTCACAATACGGGTTACCATGTCGCTTCCGGTGCAAGCAACAGTTAATTATAAAGGCATCAAGATCTTGAAAGCCATTCTTTCCCTGCATGTCCAGAGCAGCCTTCACGTAACGGTGCACTGCTTCTGTTGGACAGACATGATGGCTGCGGACAGAAATTCTTCCCGCCGACAGGCCATGTCACGAGAGACACGTGATGGGAGACGGGGGGAGGGTGTTTTTGCTTCTTTCCTCCATCGTCCAATAAATGTGACCAAAGACTTGCTATGCGCACACCGTTGTCTTTACCCATCGCCGTTGGATCCGGCATTTGACTCAAAACAACCCCCGTCGCAAATGCCGTGAGCCGGCGGAGTTTATGCTGTACGACCGAGGTCCCTCTCCGCCGTGGCGCGCCCATCACACTCCTGACTTGTCCACGCCAGCGCGGGAATGACCTGTCTGTTTCGTCCCCTCCGCACAGCATCAAGCACCATCAAGCTAGGCGCCTTGTACTAGGAAAGGAGCTACCAGAAAAGGAGAAGGAAGAATATGCTTTTATCGGTATACGAGTAGGGGCGGATACAAACCTTTACGAGATGGGTAGGGCAGCAGACCATTCCAGCACCAGCTCTGGGCGTTCGCCAAGTGACGGGTCGACCTCGTCTCCAGGGACGATGCATTACTTCGCATCGTGACGGCAATGTCTCAAATCTTGGGCCCCACGTCCGCCATCGCACAGCAACCCCGATGCTGGCGCCCTCGCGGGTTGCCCCTCACATTTGGCCTCTCTTGATGTTTTATATTCGAGGGATGGTGGCTCTAAATTAGCAAGCCCCCCCTCTAAAGTTGAGATAGGTATGTCTTATCCAAGTGTCTATCAAGCACTTCAGACAGGTATTGAGGGCATTTGCTGACAGATGCCAACAGCAGACAGCACCATGCTGATGCCCTCTGCCAACGAGTTGACAGAACTAGTAAGCTGATGCGGCAGCCAACAGCGTTACGTTACACATGATGTCTCCCACCTGGCTTTTATCGTCTTTCAGCTGAAGACACCACCCAGCGTGCCGTCTTGGCGCCGTGCTGGCCCGCCGCTCTCGGCAAAGAAGAAGCCCCCGACCGCCGCGCCGGCTGTCCGCATGGAGCATGCAGGCTTTTTGCATCATTTCTTAAATCTTGCTTGACAACTTCTGGCCTGCACCGTGCCGCCAGTGTCTGTGCCCGGAGCCAATACTACAGGCTTTCCTTTACAAGGGGAAAGGGGGAGGGGGCGTGTCGTATGTCTGGAAAACTACTAGTCTGCATTCCAGTGCGAATCAAAGACACTCGCGCCAAGGTGGTGAGAAGAGGGACGGGAACCCACTCAAGGAACCTCGAATGTTGGCCATCACTGGATAGGATATGGGCGTTCTTCGGCCTCTCGGGGTCGCGGTGCCATCCGCACGTGGGCGTGCGGACTTTGTGGTGCGTTTTCGCTCTCCCCATTTGCTCCCTCTCCCCTCGAGAGGGAGTGTGGCATGCTTCAGACCACATATAGGACGACTGTTTTCTGCCCAGGCAAGTGTGGGCTCTTTGAAGCACTCATGCGTGTCTAGAACGTCTCCTCCCCGACAGGACCGCCAGAAACATAATCTCACGTACGTGTCTGCCGGTATCTGGGTGAAATCCCTGATTGACTGACGTTGGCTGTAAACAAGGTTGCCCGGCACACATGGTCGGAAGCTATATACCGGATATTTTCACCAGGAATTTTCTGGCGTCCTCGTTTATATCCCACCACCAAGTCGCTCCTTTATCTCACTTATACCGGTCAACCCCAAACCAGCCAGAGATTCCTACTACGGTGCCAACTCCCGTCTCCCAAGAGACGTCTCATCGTTATGGGATCCGAGAGTGTGAGAACGCTGAGCGGCAATGGGAGCAGCCCGGAAAAGGACCGCTCCGCCGCCACCGACACCAAAAGCAATAACAATAACAACAACCCGTGGGCACTCACGCAGAACCTCGTCGAGTCAGACCAGTGCGAGCGCGATGCCGGTATTCCCCGCCGGGAGCTCGGCATTACCTGGAAGGACCTTAGTGTCAGGGTGCAGAGCTCCGAGGCGGCCATCCACGAGAACATCGTATCGCAGCTGAATATTCCTAAGCTTATACTAGAGTCCCGCCGCAAGCCCCCTCTGCGGACCATCCTTGACAACAGCTATGGCTGCGTCAAGCCTGGAGAGATGCTCCTTGTCCTGGGCCGTCCTGGCTCAGGATGCACCACCTTACTCAACATGCTGGCCAACAAGCGGAGGGGTTATAGGGAAGTCAGTGGTGATGTCTTCTACGGCTCCCTTTCCGCCTCCGAGGCCGGCAGATACCGCGATCAGATTGTCATGAACACCGAGGAGGAGATTCATTTCCCTGCTCTCACCGTGCAGCAGACGATGGATTTTGCAACACGGCTCAAGATTCCAGCACGGCTGCCCAACGGCATCACCTCCGAGGAGGACTGGCGTGTCAGGACTCGCGATTTTCTCATGGAGTCGATGGGCATCACGCATACTCACAGCACCAAAGTTGGCGACGCCTTTACACGAGGTGTCTCTGGTGGAGAGAGGAAGCGTGTGTCTCTGATTGAATGCCTGGCCAGCAGGGGATCCATATTTTGCTGGGACAATCCAACCCGTGGTCTCGACGCCAGCACGTATGTACATCATGACAGTTCCCCCCATCATGACGTTGAACTGACAAGACAGTGCCCTCGAATACACCAAGGCCATCCGAGCCATGTCTGACGTCCTGGGCCTGACATCCATTGTGACCGTCTACCAAGCAGGAAACGGCATCTACGACCTCTTCGACAAGGTCCTCGTCCTCGACGAAGGCAAGCAAATTTTCTATGGCCCCGTCAAGGAAGCCCGCCCCTTTATGGAGGACTTGGGCTTCGTGTGCGCCGAGGGCGCCAACGTTGCCGATTTCCTGACGGGCGTGACGGTACCCTCGGAGCGCAAGGTCCGCGAGGATGCCCAAACCACGTTTCCGCGCAACGCAACACAACTCCTCGCACAGTACGAAAAGTCGTCGATCCGCCAGGCGATGCAGGCCGAGGCGGGCTACCACGAGACGGCCGAGGCCAAGAAGAAGACGGAGGACTTCTGCGAGAGCGTCAGGGTGCAGAAGCACGACGGCGTGTCTCAGAAGAGCCCCATGACGGTCGGGTTCGCGGCGCAGGTGCGCGCCTGCGTGATCCGGCAGTACGAGATCATCTGGGGTGACAAGGCGACCTTCGCCATCAAGCAGTTTGGCTCTCTGGTCATGGCCGTGATTGCCGGGTCGCTGTTTTACGACGCGCCCGAGGACACGAGCGGCATCTTCATCAAGGCTGGCGCGTGCTTCTTTGCGCTGCTCTTCAACACCCTCATGGCCATGTCCGAGGTGACCGACTCCTTCACCGGCCGCCCCGTGCTGCTCAAGCACAAGTCGTTTGCCTTCTACCACCCGTCGGCGTTTTGCATTGCGCAGATTGCCGCTGATATCCCCCTGCTGCTGTTGCAGGTCTCCATCTTTACTGTTGTCACGTACTTTATGGCCCAGTTGCAGAACGAGGTTGCCCACTTCTTCATCTTCTGGTTCATTGTCTTCTCTGCCACCATGGTAAGTCCCTCCCACGGGTTGACGAAGAGGCATGTAGACTGACAATATATGGTGTAGTGTATGACTGCTCTCTTCCGAGCCACCGGTGCTGCCTTCAGCACATTCGATGCAGCCAGTAAGGTCTCTGGCCTGGCCATCTCTCTGGGCGCCGTCTACGCTGGCTACATGATTACCGAGCCAGACATGCACCCGTGGTTCGTCTGGATCTACTGGATCAACCCTCTGTCCTATGGATTCAACGCTCTCTTGTCCAACGAGTTCCACGACATGATCATCCCTTGTGCTGGCCCGAACTTGATCCCCAGCGGCCCCATGTACACCGACTCTAGATTCCAATCCTGCTCTGGAGTGCCTGGTGTTGTCCCGAACCAGCCCTATGTTACCGGCGACGACTATCTCGACTCTCTCTCATACTCGTACGATGCTCTGTGGAGAAACATTGGAATCCTCTGGGCTTGGTGGGCGCTGTTCGTCTTCATCACCGTCGTGTCAACCTCCAACTGGAAGACAGCCTCCGAGACCGGCCCCAGTCTCGTCATTCCTCGTGAGCTGGCGCGGCTACAGAAGCCTGCTCACCAAGCAGACGAAGAGGGTCAGGCCACCGAGAAGACGGGCCAGACCAACACTGAAGACAGCAACTCGTTGACCGAGACGGCCAATGGAGATGCCGGGCTTGTGCGGAACACGTCCGTATTCACATGGAAGGATCTGTCTTACACTGTCAAGACGCCCGATGGGGACCGCACGCTGCTCAACAATGTCCAGGGCTGGGTCAAACCGGGAACTCTGGGC